CATCCATTCCCATTTCAATGCCCATATGAAGAGCATGTGAGAAGTTTTCAGTGAAGACCTTAGTTTATGATAGTCACTGTGAATCACAAATAACTACTATGTAAGCAACACCCCCTCCCTTGACCTGCTACAATTAGAAAATACTAATAGAAGAGCTTGGAAGTACTTTGAGCAAATAGTTTTATTTAGTATACATATATGTCCTAACCTACTCCCCCCACCCCCCCACAACACACACTATCCACAACCTGTAGTCCCTCCCCTCCCTGACCCAGAATTCACAATAAAACATTGAATTATGGTACAGAGGAACCAGGGATACTGTTAAGTATATTTAAAGTAACAGTAATAAGTCAATAAGTAACACAAGTGTCCCCGCTTGGAACCCAAACTAATGTCCATTTTCCTTTTATAACTCAGTGAGACTTTTCTCATTCCCCTTTGTTAAGATGTCTCATTGTAATTCATCAATATAGCCAAGGGAGCCTTACTTGCTGTATCTTTTAAACATAGCAGCTGTGGGAATTTGGCAGTCTCACAGTCTTTCCCTGGGAGTCTTCAGTTCCACACAGCCCACACAATCACTAGGTTTGAACCAAGTAACTAGTGTATGATATGCTTGTACACTTATGCCTAGTATATTGTCCACAGTTCCATGAATCTTGTGAGCAAGGACAGAGTGGCCATAAAAACTGAAAATCTGAAAGTCATTATTGTATCATTAAGTACAGTTCCATTGCAGGGGGTTCAGGGACCACAGGACATTGTTCAGGCAGATATTGGATTAGGAAATAAACTTCACTAACTACCTTACAAAGTGCAAGGGGTCACATTTTTTTTATTTTGGGGGAATATTTTACAATGCTATTTCATTTAAACTTTACCTTATTGAGGGATTTTTTCACATCAAATTTTTCCACATGAGTACCAAGTTGTATGTACAAAGGTATTGACAAACAGCCTCTTCTCTAAAATTACAAATAGAGTGTTTGGCCAACTGTTAATGAAACTTGCCACCACATTTAGACCAGTATTCTGAATGGGAAACCCTATAGATCAGAGATCTCAAGGGTCAGCTGGATCTGTATCTCTCCTTTAGGCACCTTCTAAGATCATCACAGATTCTCAAACGGATGAAAATATTTTCGACAAGATCTTATTGATACAGGGATGATATAGGAGATGAAATAAGATCTACAAATGATATAATGGAAATATTACAATTTTCAACCTGTAAGATGTCTGATACACCTAGTTCCTGTTCTCTAAAATTGAAGAATAAATTCTAGGAACAATGGACGAACAAATGTTTACTGAGAGGATAACTCCTAAGAGGAAGGAGAGGTCCTGAATGGGTATCCCAGGGTCCCACTTCTCAGGGGAAGTTTTACAGAGCAAAACCACATAAGTACAACGTGGATTACAGCTATGATCAACCAATAAGATTATAAGTACAGTTGCTTAGGTAACATTGAACCAATGTGGACGCAAGTCAGGTAGCAAGTGTACATGGAAGGAATAAAGAACTTTTCAGAAAGGGGTGAGTCCGAGGGTCTTGGTCACCCACCGTGGTGACTGATGTCTATTTACCATTAGACTAGGAGTTACCACTTAACTTAGGCCTGGTCATTTCATCTTTATCTTGAGGCCTGACCTCCAACAGATGTGCCTCTGGCTACAGTGTAATGTGTTTTTACCTTTGTCCTGACTCTCTCGAGGGTCTAGCCCTGTCTGACTGCCAATAATATTTCTGCCTAGCTTAGCTGTTTATAATATTATCATAAAAGAATAGCAAGATTCACTTGTGAATTGTAAATTCTAATGCTACATTTAAATTAGTCTTATTAACATAAATATATTTACTTAATTCTAAATATGGGCACTTCTTTCAGGGTCTGCATACATTATGTCAGAACTTTTCACCAAGCTAATATCTACATTGTTTCTTTCATGCTTAGCTTGGCCATCCAGATAAGGTTAATATTTCCTTCAGCATCAACTTTACCTTACCTTAGAATGCACAAAGGTAATCCTCAAAGCTGTATGTAGAACAACAGAAGTTGAGTGCTTTGCCTTTTAAGAGAACATACCATTCAACAGAACATTTGAAAGTGAAATTCATAGTCCTATCCAGATTCCCCAACAGGCTTTAGTCTTGTACTATGGGATAAAACATTGACAACAAACATTTTGAGAAATACCAAAAGATCTTACTTTGAGAATTACAAAGTCACATCATGTATAGGTTATTTACTTTAATAGTATATAGGATAAAATTTTGAAGTAGATACATACAAAATTGTGGGCAAGATTATCAGAGTAAACGAATTCATTCCTACTCACATACTGTCTACAATGGTCCATCTCCTTTATGTGGTGCAGAGGACAACAGATTGTCTATCAGTGAGACTTTTCCTCATAGTCCAGAGATGTTGACAGACTTCAACAATGACAGAGTAACAAATGGATCTTCCACATGTGTAACCATGGTTCCAGGTAGGTACTTGAGATACTGAGGAATGTACTTCACCTGGTGGAAAACTATCTGTTAAAAGATTTAATGAAGAAACAAGCATATTCAACTTTAGAAAATTCCTCATAAGACAGGCAAAGGTATTTTAGTTCTCTGTTCTCTCTACATGTGCAAATGAAGGACCAACTACAATTGTGGAAGCTTTTATGAATGCTTAGCTGCCTACCAACTACATGTGCAATCTTTTTAAAAAAGTCATTTAACCTCATGTTTTCTAGAATTAGTCAGCAATGTTCCTTTTCTCTTATTAAAGGCTTTATATATTTCTCTCTAAAGATTTGTGTAATTATTTGTGCATGAATGTGTTTATGTTCTGTATATGCTACTCCTCTAAGTGTTTCTTTTTATGTGTGTTTAAACATAAACACCATGTTATGTTGACAGAAATGTGAGTACTACAACAGATTTTAATAAGATAGTGTTAGTGATTGCAACAATGTACAAAGCAATCTTCTAGTCACATACAAAAATAATAAAAATTTTGAAAATTTCACAGAATTTGCTCATTCAAACAGATAACTGAAGAACGGTGCTTAGAAAAAAATTAAATTTGAGATAAGCATTATGAATGAAAATCTGGTATGTTTTAAAACATGATCAATCTGTGTATGTGCATTTTTGTATGTGTGCATGTTTATGCTTGTATATTTATGTGGGCATTTACGTGTTTGTACACGTGTGCTGTGTACAGGTATGTGTGTTGGTATATTTATGTGTGTTTGTGTACATGTATAAGTGTATGTGAATATGTATCTACATGACTGTGATAGCACAGAAAGGTACCTTAACTATGGGGGAGGAATTTTCAGCGAAGGAGGTCTTAAGCTCAAAACACCTATGAAGAATCTCCATGCTATATATATATATATATGTGACCAATAAGTAAGGCTGATTTCCAGGATCCTAGATATCTTTTTCAGTAGATGAATTCCCCCACTCCAACTTGTACCATTATGATTGAACATTGGGACAGCTGTGTGTAACCTTCCTGTCATCAAAGCATTTCTCAGAATGTACCAGCTTGGACCAAGATGTGATTTCTTATCATCAGACAAAGGTTAGGATATACACCTGGACTTGCAAAAGGGAAGAATCTGGCAACTTCTCTTTTATGTTACTACTGTCAGTCTCTCCTAGTTCAAATATACATTTCAGAAGTGATGCCATTCTGTTAAGAATATGGCACTGATAACACACAGTCATTACACTTAAAACTGTTTCTTCAAAAGTGAAAATAAATTTTGCAAGGCTATTTATGTAACAGTTTTACTGAGTCTTCCAGGTGGCTAATAACTATATCAAGGAAAAAGCTGGCTAGGGTGAGTGATGCAGTTTGTGTAAACGAACATACATGGGGCTTTCAAACCACATGACCATAGTTCTTTAGCACCATGCTCAAATCCACAGAGCTAAAGGGTTGCACACATCAACACAGATGATGCAAAGATGAAGTTCTGTGAGTTTGGAGTTTTCAGCCAAGTCAGTAGCAAACATTGAAGCTAGATTTTCTGTCAAGCATGGATTACTCCAGATTCCCAGCCTTACTGATGATATAAAAAGTCTAATTTTTGTAGAGAATAGAGACAGGAGTAGGAAGGGGTTTTCCTCGGAATGAGAGAACATTAGGTGAAAATACAGTAGCACAATAATCATTTGAATTACAGTGATAGCCTTTTTATCCAAATTTCTCCTACGTCTAAGCAGGAGAAAGAGGATATCAGAGCAAGGTATGATTCCTCCAAGAAGTACTGGGTACCCAGAAATAATTCATTCTGCACTCTCCTTTTCTGACCTTGATCAGTTAGCAAACTGTCCTGGAATGTAGCCATCTTACCAAAAGGAGAATGAGTGGGAAGGGAATATCTCTGTCCTTAGAAGAATAAGAAGAATTTACATGAGGAGAGATAAAAAGAAACTAGCAGAGCTCACCATTAACAAAGCTACTAATCTCAAAGTCAGCTAAAGCTAAAAGAATATACATAGAAGTAAATTTATATTGGTGACAACAGCAAATGTGGTCATATATTCATCCTAGGGCTTCTCTAAATATCTGATTTTACATGTGAGTAATAAATGGTCAATATTTTTAGTTGGTATGTTGCAGATAGGAAGGGAGAGGAAGTGAATGATTGACGCATGACAGTGAAAATGGAAAGACTCAGTTTAAACTACAATTAACTCTCTTCCTCCAATTTCTCCTTGGTCTAAAAAGAGAAGCAACACTGCAGCAAGTGTGTAAATTTATCAGAAATGCTTAGGGTTCTAACTCCATAAAACCCCTCTACTTGTCCTGTCACCACGTGGGATCAGACTAGCCAAAGCTAAATTCTAGTTAATCGTCATGCTCTTGGACATTGGCTCATCTCAAAGGACATTGAATAGTATGTCGTTGTTAAGAAGATAATGATTAAGATGAGGGGAAGAAAGAATGGGAGAGAAAGAAATAAAAGCAGAGGCACACACTCACTCTAAGCCAATGACAACTCTATTTCAAAATTGTTAAAGTCAATAATGTGGCAAAGTAACTGCAAAGTTTACAGCAAATGCAGAAGCAAAAGTCTAAAGCCACTCAGCCAGACCTGGGACTATTAACAATCTCCAGGATTATCTGGTAATAATAGAAGTCTGTTGTTATTTTTTTTAATTCTTTTACAGTTTCTAGAAATTATTTTTTTCTTTAGGGTGTTGTTATGGAGAATGGGGCAGGAAGAGAAATAAACAATAGCTAAAATATCATAGAATAGGAAGAGTTTGAGAAAACATGAATGGCTGGAAAAGAAACAGATCTGATCTGGGTATAATTCCTCCAAAGGGAATTGGGCTATATTATTGGGGATCACTTTGTGGTGACACTCCTACTCAATAGACACAGAGAGTATGAAACTTAAAAAGAAACAGGCAGAATGAGAAAGAGGGAGAAGGAAGAGGAAGAAGAAGAGACAAGGAGAAGCAAATTGGAGAGAAGCTAGGAGGAGAGATAGGGAAAAGGAAGAGGAATGAAGATAGAAGAGAGTGAGTGTAAGTGGGAAGGAAAACAGAAAATAAGATATGAGAAGAGCAAAGGAGAGTAGAAGATGGAAGATGGGAAGGCAGGTGATGAGGTATTTAGAGGGAGAGGAAGGAGAGAGCATAAGGAGAGGGAGATCAGAAGAAGAGAACAGGAGACTGAGAGGGGAAACACAAAGGAGGGGAAGAAGGAAAGAGAGGGGGCAGTAGGAGATAAAGAACAACTGTCAAGGGTAGTGAGGAATGTCATGAAAAAGAGCAGGAGAGAAAAATGAGAAGGACAAGAAATTCCATTCTCATCATGGAATCATCCTGTCACACCACAACCTTAATAATATTGCCCCTGAATAAAAGTAGTGGCAAGAGAAGGACATGATATTACTTCCTTCTCATCTCTCTTGCTCAGTTGAAAAACTTATAGGCTAAAAATATAAGAATAATTTAAAAAACAATGAACACATTGTATTTTCTCTTTTCTCAACAAAATGGAAAAATTAAATAGCATATATTTATATGAAACAAGGAGTCAGAAACAGAAGTTTTTTTGTAGTGCTAATTTGGAAAGAAGCAGTCATCAAATTATTGCACAACAACCTGGGAAAATAACCCCAGTGATCTGGGTTAAACCATTTAGCTGCCTTGTGTTTTCCTCTACATCTGTAAGATTTCTCATTCTCACTTCATTATAGAATATACTTGAAACAACTTCCACTTACAAGGTGCTTTGTATTCCCATAGCTTCTGAAAGAATTTCAAAAACTACACTCTCTCTCCTAGCATTTTGCTAGAAATGTCAGTAATCAGAGAACAAGAACTATGGCATGGTGGTACACAAGAATGGAAAGGGGCATTGGTGAACAGAAATAGATGCAGTTTAGGAAGCCTCAAGTCAGAGTGAAATTTTCCTTTCAGCAGTAGAGAAACACCTCTGATCCACCTGAACATCTAATATCCTCAGTGTACTGGTGTTGCAAGAAACAGTAGGAAAGGGGAATATGAAAGAAGACAGGGAAAAAATGAAACAGCAAGTGAGACATGGTTGTTCACAGGGCTCCTACCACTCAAGTACCAGCCCCTGCCCCATGAGAAATTAATGAATTCTAGTTATTTTAGCCCCATCCTATGTCAGGTATTTTGAGGATAGATAATGATCACGGTCTGGGCAGCTTAAACTCTAGGCACTGAAGGGTAAAGAAAAGAGATTTCTACTGCTGGGGAGGGAGGAGGACTAGGTAGCTCATCAAAATCTTTGAATCTGGGGAATTTAGGTACACCAGGGTTAAGATCCACCCAGGCAGGACGGTAGGTCGGTGAGACAGAGATTAGTTGGTGGTGCTCCCCTCTCAGGCGGCTGATTCCATCTAGCAGCATCTTTTGGACTTCCATGATGACCTTCTGAACTTCAATTCGGAAGCTATCGCTGAGCCAGCAGTAAATGTAGGGGTTGTAGCAGGAGCTGCTAATTGCCAGCCAGTGGAAGAAAAAGTAGAGGCCATTATGGCTTGATATGGACTCACTGGATAGCAACAGTAGGTAGAGGTTGAGGGGGAGCCAGCTGACTGTGTAGACAAACACCACTGTCATCAGCATCTTCAGCGTCTGCTTCTTTTTCCCACGTTGGCAGATGTAAGTGTGGATGTTGATGTCATCAACAGCATTATGGAACCACAGCTTCTTGGCCACATGACCATAGACAACCACCAGTACCATCAATGGCAAGATGAAGAAGAGCAAAAAGGTGCTCAGGTCAAGGTATTTCCATGTGGATTTTGAAGTATATGGGTAACTTGGGAGGCAGGCCATTTCTTTAGTAATGTTTCTAGGTTATAAGACAAAGAAAAGAAAACATCAATTTTTTTCCCTTTTCCTTAAGACCCACAGCCAGCTGTTGCATGGCAATTAGGCCCTAAGGGAGAGACATATTTACTGTTTGTGTCTGCATTGCACCTAAAGCCAAGGGAAATCTGGATTTTACCTAATACAGAATTTTCAGGTGACATATAGGAAAATCATGGCCCCTCCCAAACAGGAAAAGATATGCCTAATATCCATTGCCATGAGAGTTTCTGGGAATGATTAGGATAAATTCCAGATAAGAGAAATTTATTTTTGTGCTCATGCTTTGAAAGGTATTACTCAAGCCAAGACTTATTTCACATGGCTTCCAAGATTCTGGGTTGCTGTCATTCTGTGTTCCTCTTACCCAATCTTCACTTGGTAAAGCTTCTGATAAATGGCATGTGGCAAAGCAGCACAGGTGCTCACGATCCATATGATAATGATGCAAACATTGCCTTGCATCAGAGTAATATGGGACTTCAGGGGATATAGCATCACCTAGAAGCACAGAGATCACAGCTGAATTCAACAATTCAAATTAGGGTTAGTTTACAGTCATTCATCAACTGACTTTCTGGTGCAAAGGTACAAAGACTTCATAGGTGGGTAGATAACATGCTTTGGGTAATTTTGAGTATATTTGTTCAGTTGACAATATGTGGCATTTTGCTCCATGAAAGAGTAACATAGCCAGGGTTGATTAGAAGCCAGGAATCTACATATACTAACTTCAAAGCTCATGTCCTGAGTAAGGAGTTCTGTGAAGAGGATGGATGTCCAAATATATGACTTATTTTTCTTTTATATTATATGGATGGGTAAGCCCTCCACATATTCCTTTATCCCTCTCCACACTGGCTTCCTTTGTGCCCTTTCCTTTTTCCTCCTTCCCTTCCTCCCTCCTTGTTTCCTCCTGTCTCCCTTCTCTTATCACCTAGATCCCTCCATTGACCATCTCACCTAGTTTCACCCTCTTCAATCCTCTTCAATCTTTCCTTTTGTTTCTCCCACATCACTCATTTTCTGGCTCTCTCACAGATGATTAATATGTAACCCCTCTCAGCTTCTTATGGCCTAAACTACTTCCTTTTAGTCATTCACAATCTTTTCCCCAGCTCTGTGCTCATCACTTTATCTCCTCCTACTTCAACTCCTCAACCCTCCCTCAAAGTCTTTACACCCACCTCCCAGACTCAACCCACCATCAAGCCCTGAAACCACACCCATCTCTGACTCATTTCTTCCCTTTCTGCTCTTAGCCAGTCCTGCAATGCAGCAAATAACAAATGTTTTCCAAAGAAGAAGGGAAACACTCTTTATTATTTGCTCATTGCCACTCTGTGTTCCCATAGTGCCATATGAAATTGGTAGCAGTTTTATTATGCAAAATTTGATTTGGTGAAGATCTGTACTTCACCATCTTCCAACTCCCCTAAACTATACATATGCATTCACATACATTGTCTTAAGAAATAAAGACATTTTGACATTTTGTGTGATATTACTTGTTCTGTTTACCTAAAATAAAAATACATTCCTCTACACGAACTGGAAAACACATACCCGACGTCGGTCCAAGGAAATAGCAACCATAGTCATCACAGTTACATAGGCACAAGAGTACTGTGCAAAGCAACTGAGGTGGCATGTCATCTTCCCAAACACCAAGGAATTACAAAGATAGCGCACCTGTGGTAGAGAAAGCTCAGGTGAGACACAAGAACTAAACCCTGGATCCACTGTTCTCACAGGCTCCAAAGCACAAATAAACCCTCCTTGATTCACTAAACTGCTAGCATTATTGTCTCACAAAGCAAACCTTTCTGTACTGCAGTTTTCATGCTCTTCCCATCTTCTCCCACACAAACAGTCCAGCTTTAAAACAAGGAAGGACACCAAATCACAAAAGATGTTAATCCCCTTCAAGTCCAAGCAATGCCTTTTGAACAGTGGGGAAACTGAGGCTGTGTCTTTATGACAAGACCTGAATTCACATGTCAGCCCAAAGCCCACCTACAATAGGTCCCCACTGTCATCCTAAACATTTATGTTTCTCCCAGCTTCTGCCAAGGCAGGAGATTAACTCAGCAATGCAACTACAATCCTGCTTGTCTCTGTTTGGCCCCCAAACTCAATTTCCAAACCTTTTTCATTGTCTCTCAGCCACTCTAGTCTCTGCAAATGGTCTCCAAATCAGTCCAACTGGTTTCAGCAAATACCTCCTGCCAAACAGCTCTCTCTGTTACAAGTACAAAGTTATACCTTAGTTCTCACCCTGCTCCCCAGCCACCCCCCTTAGAACCCAACTTACCAGAGTGAAAGGGGAACTGAGAAGAGCGAGCATCATGTTGGTCACAGAAATGTTGACAACGAAGAGGCCGCTGGCTGTGTGCACCCTCTTGTATTTCATAATTACACGGTTTAAGACCCAGTTGCCTAGGATAGCAGCAAAGACCACTATGGTGTATCCTATCACTAGCCAGAACTGTACCTGCTCGTCCTGGGACACTATTTCTGAAGTTAGAGGACCCGACAGGTCGTCCAGGTCACCCATGTTTGACACGTGGTCTGGCAGCTTATCCATCATGGAGAGCACGCTATCTCGGCCAGCTCGACCAATCGCAGATGCGGCACTGCACATGGCTTGCAGCACCTGAGAGGCGGTGGTGGTGATCAGGTCATCAAAGCCGCTAGGCACACTCAGAGCTTCAGGGGTCAGCTCGTCCCCATAGTTCATGGTGCCAGGGTCCGTAAATCCCCTTTGGGGCGAATCTATGGTAGGGGCCTCCAGACTCATGCCTTTGATGGACCGTGAGGTCCTTAAGCTATTAAGTCAGGGAGCTCCCCGGAAGTGAGATGGGGAGATAAGGCCCTCGGTGGAGAGCTGGGCAAGCTCAGCTCAGTGAGCTGGAGCGCTGAGCTAAGATATTCTCTACAGTGGAAGTGGGGAAGGGAGAAGAAGCGCCGTGAAACAGCAAGAAGAAATGAAGTGGGAAAATGCGTAGAGCAGAGCGGGGCAGCTGAATTTGGGGTGGGCGAACGCTGCTGAGTCCAAATGCTCCGCCCGATTGGAGAGCGCACACAGTGCCTATTCTGACCTGGAGACCTCCAGCGTCGCTTCTCCTCTGCGTAGTGCCGGGTCTTTCCGACTCAGTTTCTGTTGCCTTCAATCAGATGGTAAATCTGTAGGTCCAAGGCCAGCTGACGCTGTGAGCAGGGCGGAGCCACACGCTGCCACTAGCAGTCCCAGCCTGTGCCTGCCGCGCTTTCTGCAGCAGCCCTTTATAGAAAATCTAAGGGCCCGCGCGGGAGCCAATAGGGAGCCCTGGCCGAACCCCCGCCCTATCTATCCAGGCAGCGGCCCCAGAGCCATTGAGAAAATCTTTACTGGTCCAGTCTCCTACCCGCTACGTTTGCTCGTCTTTGGCTCATCCTGCATTTGGGAGCCCAGACTTATGGCTTATTTCTTCACCACCACCCCCGCCCCCCAATCTGCTTTCATCAATTCCCCTTCCCTTACGCTGCTGGATTTCTTTTCTGCACCAGCTCCCAAAACACTGACTAAGAGCTATGGCTCAGAGAACTGAGAGAGGGCTGTGGAGACTGTGGTCTTGATTGGACAGACCAACAGTCTGCTGGATGCTTTAATCGGTACCAGCAACCCAGGTAGCCTTTGGGGGAAAGTGGTTCCGTGGAAAGGCTTGCATAAATTTTGTGGTTTCCTAGATAGAGTGAGATGGGGCAGTTGGAGAATCTGAAAGGAACACTCAAGGAGTCCTTGAGAGCCCAAGTGAGGGTTGCCTGGAGCAGAGTAAGCTCGGCAAAATGTTTTCCTTTCTCCAATCTCTCCAACCTCAGCACCCCTGAGTTCTGCATCTGGCCACAGGAAATACTACAGTGAGGAAGTACCACATTGGGATCTGGACTGTGGCAGGTTAGTTGGCAGGTGCATCACCAAGGAGGGTTTAGGATTTAGGAAGTTTCTGTAAATCCATGCTGACAGCGTTCAAAGCAGCAGGAGAGAGAGGAAGATGGAGTTCAGCCATCATGGTTGCAGTGGAAAAGAGGTTAGGGCTGGTGTTCCAAGACTCCTCTTCCTGTGGGATTTTAAACTTACCTCTCAGAGGAGTCTGGAGGCATTTGAGCCAAAACTGGAGCAACTGATCTGCCTCTGTAGAGGAGCTAGAAGGGAACATAGTGGTGACCTGAGTCAGAATTAGAGTATCCTTTGCTTATTATCACTCATCTTTCTCCCACTAATTTACAGATAGAGAAACTGAGGCTTGGGAGGGAGAATGAAAGAAAGATCATAGAATTAGCTGAAGCACCAGAACTAGAAGTGAGAATTGAAAAGTGGCAGTTCAAAGTATTTTGCTATACAGCAAGATGTCATTCTGAGAAATACTGTTGTTTGTTTCATCCCATCCCATAACATCCTAGCTAGCTTCTACCTCCCAGGGCTGTGGAGGAGGATAGTAGTTGCATTGTTTTTTCCCTTGAGGATCCAGAAAGGGAGTCACCTGGCTGGCGTCAATAATATAAATAAGTACTTATTAAGGAGTAAGCAGAAATTAATTTATCACATCATTACCATCATTATTCTCATCACCATTATCATCATCATTATTTAGGCATGAAGATCACAAAGCACCATGAAGGTGTGTGTGTGTGTGTGTGTGTGTGTGTGTCCACGTGCATACATGAACATGTGTACACACCCTGGCCACATCTCGCTGGTTATAGATTATGAAAGTAGGAGTTGAAACAGAGATCTAAGGATGTTGAAACCAGCTAATTGAGGGTGCTCCCACTTGTAGCAGGGAGATGGTGACTGACAGGCTAACAATGCATAGCTAATTACAAAATATAAACCCTGTTTTTCTGAATGAAAATTAAACCTTCTAAATATAGGCCTAGGCTTAAAGAAATTCTATGATTACTAGATAAGTTCTTTTAAAAAATAAGAAAGGACAAAAAAGTGGAAAGAAACAGGAAAAATAAACTGTATTTTGCTTGGCTGAGCAATCTGAGACACATAAGCAAACAAATTTGAAGGACTTTAATAAGTATTGACTCAATCACACAGCTCCTTCTGTGTCCAGATTGCAAGATCTCAGGTGACTCATGAGTTTTGAGGACTTGTGGGTCAAGAAGAACTTATACGTTCATCAGGACCTGGGACTCAGAAACAGAAATAGCAGCTAATGCTAGTGTGATACAATGTACATCATTTCTCTCTTCGTGGAATCCAGCCTTGAAATATTGTTGTATGGGACATTCACTTGTCCTCTGAGATCCAACCCACTTTTGAAAGTTACAGTAACTTGATTCAGAGAGGCCAAAGAGGGTAAGGACTACAGTTAAGCTTAGCAATCTTGACCTGTATGTCCATGTCTGATGCTCCCACATGGGCCCCCTGCACTGTGCTTCATTTAAATTTTAGAAAAATCTTGTCTTTGACTACCTATTAACAAACTCTTCATTTGTTACTACATTTTAATTCCTTTTGGGCCCTTCTGAAGCCAGCTTAAGATCAAGCACAGAGATGGTGGCCTGGATACTCAGTTGATGTAAGTTGACAAATGTTCTTCTGGAATTGCCGTAGAGGGATCAACTGGAGATCAGTGATTCTCAGCCTGACTCAGCACCTGCTGTAGAATGGAGCTGTGTGATATACTGGGTATATTGCTGGGCAGTGGAAGAGCATGCTGGGGGTTGGAAAAATGAGAACTCAGGAGTCTCTCTTCTTGAGCAGCTAACAATTGCACTATAGAGAACTCCACCCAGGAAATAGTTAATTCCAGGCAGGCATAAAATGTGCAGACAGTTACACAGGAGCAAATAGGAGCAAATGATACAGTTACTATAGGAGCCAATAGTACATGTTGAGGGCAGAAAAGGCTTTGCAGAGCAGCTGGCATTTGAAGAGTCAGGACAGAATTAGGCAGAGAGGAAAGACAAGGAGAGATTTAATGTGGGTACAACGTGGGTCAAGCTACAATTAATCTATAAGTATTGCTGCTTAGCTAACATTGATCCAATAAGGAAGTGAGCCACATAGCAAAGGTATATGGCTAAAATCATTAACCTTGGCTTATCTATGACTTCTAAACTTGCAACATTTTGGGAAGGGATGGGTTCAGGTGGTTTTGTCACCCACCTGGGTGTCTGATGCATATCTGGGCTTAATGGACTGGGTAGTACCTATTACAGTAGCCTCAAGATTCCACTTATCCGTTAGGGAAGTATGCAAGACTGGCCATTGTGACTATCTTGAGGCCTTGCCTTCTTCAGATGCACTTCCAGCCACAATCCTGATTTCTTTAATTTTCTGCTGACTTCCTCGAGTGCCCAGTCTCTCTTTGACTGTATATTAATTTCTACCTAACTTAGCTGCCTATAACAAATCCACAAAGAACTCTTATCTCAGGCAAAAAATGACTTATAGTTCTGAGAATTGTGCACTTCGAGAAGTGCACAGTCTCATTCTCTGCAGACCATTCACAACCATGTACAGGCTCAGCAACAGGCATGGAGAGGCCTTGTTCAGAAACTAGCTAAGCCAGCCTCTTGGGGCTTAAAGACGGCTGCTTACTGGAGCAAGAGAACTTTTGCTGGTTTCCTACTGTCTTTTTCTTTCTCCTCAGTTCTCTGCCTCCATTAAACTGGAATTCAGGAAATGATCTATATGTTAGTGTTCATTGAGGTAGTTATATTTGTGCTCCTACAGGATTTAAATCACAAAATCAAAAGAGAGCTGGCAGAGGACAAGGAGTTCTAATCCTGCCTTTTCACACATGGAAACAGAAAGACCAAGAAAGGGAAGAGCTATAGCTAGAGGATGTGTCAGGCCTAGAGCCCAGGTTTCCTAATTGCTGTCTACTTCAGAGCTCTTTTCCCTGCCTCAAGTTTTCCCAATTTGCTATGCTTGTGACTGTAGTCTCTATTTCATTATTATACCTTACTTCTCTGTCCCTGAAAAGAGAGAAGTTTGCTGGTGGGCATTATGCATCTCTCCTTGTTACAAGTAGGCCTTCAAGAAAAATAAGTTGGATGAATAAATAAATAAATTAATTAATTAATTAATGCTTGATCTTAGCTGTCTATCTAATTATGAAATCCAAAAGCTGGAAAGTTCATGAGAGCCATCTGATAAATCTCCATACTTCTTTTGGTCCAGAGAATGGAGTATTCCAGACTTTGTTTTTTCAGAGTTGAAAGTTGTGAGTAGTGACCTCTAAATCCTATTTTACCCCTAACTTTCAAGGTAATCTACTTTAATCTAGAGTTTGTGCTTAGCTATTTCTTTCCCTCAATTTTTCTGTCTGCACAATGAAGAAGTTGAAATCAATATTCTAAGGACCCTTGTAGCTCCAACATCTTGTGATCACTGTCACTATACACAAAAATAAACATCATTTTAACTTTTATATTTGAAACTGCAGTCAAGGTGTTGAAATAACCAAAGAAATAGCAAATTATCTCTGTTTTTAGTCTCTGTAAATGAACATGAGACAGAGTAGTGGAAGTAGTCCTTAGTGATACATTATAGGCATCATAGTGATCATAATATAATGTGTCTTGCTTTTCTCTTGTTGCTGAGACAATATGCCTGACACCCAAAGTTAAAAGGAAAAAGGTTCATTTGGCTCACAGTTTGTAGAGGTTTCAGTCCATAATTGGCTGGCTCCAAGGCAGAGTGGCACATGGCAGAGGGGCATCACAGAAGAGAAATAGTTGAATGCTGCCCACGTGGTAGCAAAAGCAACAAGGGACCTTAACAGTGTCTTTCTGGCCCTTTTATCTTATGCAGACTACTAAAGGGTGCGTAGCACCCAAATCCTTAATCCCAGTGCCTTTGGGCCTAACAATACACCATAAATCAATCACACACTCTAGATTCAGCCACACCTGAAAAAGCCCCACCCAAGACTGCATGAGGCTTTGGGGAGGACATCTAAACACAAGCCATAATATAATAGTAACTGAAAGAATAGTAATAACAGCTGGAATTAGTGTCCCTTGACTTCACTATATCCCTGGAAAAACAGCCACTTTGATGAGCCTTAGAAGCGCAGAAATATAAGAAAATGAGGGCAAGTGCTAACAATTTGTGAACAAATTGCCTCCCTTCTCCTTAAAAGTGAAGGACACATTAGTTGCCAAACTTTCCAATAAATGTGTAGCCACTATTTACAAAACACCAGTCAAGTATATAGATATGGCAGTGAACAAGACAGATAAAA